ACGGCGTGCGATCGATGAATATTGAAATTCGGACCGTTATAGTAACACCGACGTGCTAGCTGCTACAGAACACGTCCTCATAACATTACTTTCGTTAGGTAAACTTCTGAATAAAACTGAATAAGGTGTTATTGAAAAGACCACAACTACGATTGTATTTTTATAACAAAAGAGAACTGTCAACGTTCGGTGGTCCAATCAATCAAATTGTGGTCCATAAAATAAAGTTGATTGAAGAGAAACTTCTCAAACAGGAAACTTAGTCGCTTTCAATAATAAAAGTTTTAACCGCAATCGAATAGCGAGGACATCGTCGTCGTATAAGAAGACTCAAATAGGATATTACGTGGACGGACAACCGTTATAATAATGTCAACTTCCGGATAACGATGAGCAACAATATACTTAGAAACCCCGTTGAAACGAACAATTACCACGATTGTTTTCTCTGTGAGAAGATTACCTAGACGCGAACGAAGATGTAAGTACGTAAAAGAGGTCGCTATTACGACGACGAAAATGCGTATGTAACGGTGATCCATTTTCGTCTGGCGAAATATCCTTGCTGGGTCCGTTTTACGAGGGTCTGAGCCTGTTAGGTATATTGGAGCCCGTTCGATTTCGAAGGAAAGATTTATTGACATTACTCCTATCTCATTACCATTTTCAATTTGGCAGAGTGTTTCTCATAGTTTCGATCATTTCACAGTTATGAGAAGATTCAATTCAATCGAAACCACTTGTTATTTTTCTAAATAAATCTTTAAAGCCAAAAACAATAAAAATAAAAAATATTAATAATGAAAATAAAATAAATGTGCTTCTCCAGGAATAAGGATGAATGAAAAATGTGAAGACTCATCGTTCGCGGAAAGATGCCCATTCATTCATACCATGCTTTTACTCCTCCTCGTCCAACAGCCAATACTGGGATCTCATTACGGTTGATTAAAATCAGTCAACCAGGAAAATAATAACAATTTATCGTTATGCTCCACTGCGGATCTAAATATTTACCCACCAAGAAAGCTCGAGCTGACAATTCGACAAGGACATTAAAAAATACACCTCACACGTCGAAATCTCTCCAATCACTTTGTTACAAAATTTTCACATGTTACAAATTTTCTGCGCAAACTAGAATTTAATTTATCCCTAATGGGCACTACGCTATGAGACTTGATGACGTTACAGAAAGTTCCTCTAAATGTGGCTCGACTAAATAGTTTCGACACAAAGACCTCCTCTTGGTGCTGTAACATTTATCTCTGTACCACAATAGATGTCATTATGATTCGGACTTTATAAATGAGATCGAGGTTTCACTATTGGAGGGGATTTCAAGAAAACGATATTAATAGGATTGAGGTGAATCTAGAAAATGTAGAACGAATATTACAAATTCCTAAAAGTATCAAGAATTAAATAGTAAAAATATTAATCTTAAATAATGGAAGACAAGGAGGTTGTTAAATCAAACATCTGGATTTACTTAAAACGTCCTAGAAAAATAACGGGAACACTCGAAAAAGATGACTATCACAGTGACTAATGGTGAGTAGATGCGTATCAAAACGCGGAATAGGAAATCGAACAGAAACAATAATTGAGTGAGCCGCCCACTGTCTGCTCTGTATTTGGAGTCAAACGCAAAAGCCGAGAGCTGACCCAAAGCCGGCCGATTGTGCTTCTTCGGCCGAATAACCGAGTCGGGAATACATAAGCAGCGTTTTCAATTCTGGTCTAGAAACGTCTCCCTTGTGTCGCCGGTAGGCTTAAAATTCAGACCGGAGGCTACCGGGGCAAATTTAAATAAACCGGCCATTCCGATGAACATCGCATGCCGTTCTAACTCTAAAGAATTGCCATTGTGGTCGATATAGAGAAAAATTGTCGGAATATTGCAAATGGAAAAGAAGCGATGTCCCAGATCGAACATTATTTGTGACATTTTCCCATTGTTCCCTCTATCTGTTCCTACCCTAATCCCGTCAAAGTTAATTGTTTCTCAGAGAGGAGACCTAAATAGGATTATAGTTTGCGATTAAGCCGAAGTTTAATTGACTACAGTTTGTCCCGCGGTAATCCTGGCGTAAACCCCACATCCATCGGGTTGGTAGTAATGAAATCGTTGTCGTTGCCCACCCGCGTAAAACTTATCATCACATTATGTATACACACGCACCGACCACAGGAAATGGCCATTTGTTCTTTCACTTCCAACATGTGTTCGAGCTAACAAAAAAAATCGTTGTTGAGATATTTTCAAAGAAACCAATTATAATTTTAAATCCAACTTTAATTTCTTAATATATAGATTGTGGTGAGTTATACTCAAACTGTGTCGAAACACAGAAGCGATATCCTGTATAACTGTAAAGCACGCATTTCATAGCAGAGAATTGATCAGTTCGTAGTGAACACGGCAGGTATTAATGCTGTGTATTAATCAACTGGCGAGTAGACCGCATGCCTATTCAGAACGGCAGTGTTGTCACTGTTACCCGCTAACGGCAACACACGGGATTAACTATCAAAATAACATTAGCCAGGTAAACAAATTAATTCCGGCGAAATACGAACGAATGACTCGCTACTTCCATTAGCGCCGCCTAAACGAAGACAAGCTTAAGAGCGGATTATACGATATAAGTTATCTTCTAAGGTAACCTTAATTTCTTTACTCAAAGTAGAAAATGAACTTGACCCAGAGAATAATCTGGCACAGTTCGACATTATTCTCATTAATTCTAATCTTCTAGTGTTACACGGACGACTATTTGTCTTGAACTAATCTCAAGGCAACTCCATTAATCAAATTAAGATACTACTGTCTAATATTAGAGCGCTGTTTAAACGCTTTGCGTACAGTTAGGATTCAACCACCGTATCGAGCCGGCACGAACAGGTTTCGTTGGTCGTTCTCAAACTGTACTCGAAGAGCTCACGGCGCCTTTTGTCGCGCTAATGTGCGGCCGCACATAACGCAATAATTGCGTGGTTGGTACATCTCTCATGCTAAAGTTTAAGCCGTCCTATGCCGCAACCGCTCGGTTCCTATGTCATTAGTGGAAGTCAATCATCTCCATTCCAACTTTGACTGCCCCTTTACTTCCTCGTCCGCCAGTTACTTCCGCGTGTTTTAGACGGCTATATGGGAATTTCGTGATTTCGGTAGGGGCACGTTTACTATGAACGAATCCGTAAAGAACCGTTGAGTTATGGATGATGGCTACGAGCGCAGCGGTAGCTACCTCGATATTGAAGTCTTAAATTCTCCTCCTACATCGATTGCACCTAAAGGCTAAAAAATGCCAGGTTTTAACATCGTAACATGGAAAGTGTTTCTAAATCAACTTTATATAATTGTAATAAATAACATAAATTTTTCTTAGTCGAAAGGAATTCAAAGGATAGGCTTTGCCCATATTCGATCAAAACAATTATCAGTTTACACGTAAGTGTTTAGTTGTATAGACTGGAATGCAAGTAATGGCCAACACTGTTAGCGATCCTCCGCGTTCTTCTTCTGTTTGTGTGTCCGTTCGCCGTATCAATCATCGAGACAACGTTTCTTCCTTTTTGCGTAACGGTTGGTGGATACTGGATACCTACAGAAGATGAGCGCTTAACTAATTAAAGTAGCGCAATCCATTCTCACGACTTACCTAACGCTTAACGTTTTCTAACGGACCATATCGTTGTTCTGCGTTGTCCATGTCGTACAAACAGGAGGATATCTAAATATACATACGGGTTGTCGTATAAATCGATCCCGTAATTAGACTGTGCGTTGATATTAATTTAATAATTATTGTTCCGGCCGCACATTCCCACATTCAATGTATAAACGCTTCATACATATTTATAGAACCAATTAATATGCTTAAGGCTAATTTATATTTTGTAACATTATGGCATTACCAGAGCAGCAACATAAGATTGCAGTTAGTAAAGTCCTTTCGGTGTCACGTCGTGTTGCAACGAAGATATCTGTACCTACCAGGTTAAGGTTAAGGTTCCGTAGATCGGGTCTTGGCGATCAGATGTTTCATGTTCCCGGAACACGCCAATTGCCTAGCATTGCATGTGAGCAGCCGGTGATTTTTTTTCACTGAGGGCAGTTACAAGACTCGAATTAGATTGCAATGTGCAAGTCGTCGCAAGAAGAAGGTAAAAACCTCACTAGGAGATAAAGGCCGGTCGTCGTTGCTTCTGAATGGAACGGAATGCGCACCTCCAGCCTCGACCCTTTAATCTGCGACGTTTAATTTAAATTTATCTCCTGTTCGATTTTTTTCGCGGGCCGGCGCCAGAGATTTATGGGAATCGCTCCGAGGCCCGGTCGCCGCCGTGCCATCCACGAGGGACGAAAGAATGCCGATTTTTACTCGCCCCGTCGACATTGTTACTGCATACCGATGCGTCGGTATTTATTAGATTCGGTGAAATACTTAAATTGAAACTGGTGAACGGATTGTATCGATAGGTCTTGTCGCTTTTTGTCCTGACGCGATGTGTCTTTCGATTCGGAATTTATGAAGCGATTCAAGCATGCTCCGGATTGAAACCGGCGTTTCCTGTAGCTTCGATTCTCCCTATACTACATTTTCCTCTTCCCATTAAACAGAAAAGCTAGACAAGCCGCATTTTTCTGATCCTTTAACTTCGTCTTGGTAAACTACAAGATTATATGGATCTACTTCGTACTACACACTTTCTTCAACTACTTTAACAAGGCTTTAAATTGTCGGTAGAAAATTGCTGTGATTTTTTTGAAATACTTAACACTTGCCAAGATTGCATTAATTGATCCCCGCGGTTAAACTGTACGTTAACAATATTAATTAATACTTTCTCACCAAGCCTACGGTTATTTTCAAACTCCTATGGGTCATGTTATTATTATCGAAATTATCCAGGAAGTGCTACTGTCACGCAATCTTGAGATTCCTTAGCTGCATTCTATACTAATCAAAGTTTCTTTTTTGATGTTCTAGGTGAAGAGCGAGCATCGTCCACGCCCGGAACTAAAGGTAAGTTCGCTAGAATTTTCCAAGACGAGATTCATTTCGATGCTCTTAGCTGTCAGGCGGACAGCAAACGGAGCGCACCGAAACGCAGCGGAGCGATGCTCCTGGATGTAATTAATTGAATCTGTCTTCATTTGTATCCTAGGCCCCGGTTGCTCCACTCTGACGGACCCAGCACGCGGTCCAGTAATTGCGATATCGCATCCCTAGTTCAGCTTCTGTCAAATAATCTTAGCGATAAGTTATGTTTCCGTCACGTCTTCTTATTAACTTGATCATCTTCGAGATCTCATCAAAAAACCAGCAATAAATACTAGCTAATTTTAATTGGTCCTGTTAATTAGTTCATAGAAAGCTACAAAGAGTCTCGTGCCACCGTTTTTCTTGCCGCATCATTAGAATATTCGCAGCAAAAGTGCAACGGAATGTCCAGTTAACTGTAAATCGTTCCAGTGAACTAAAATGCACACGCCGAAATCGAGGCCGAGCTTTTGTCAACAAACTCGGCGACGACAGCTCCTACTACTCTCTTTCTTCTCAAACCGCAGTTTACAACAATAGAACATGAAAACAGCGAGCTACGTGATTTCTTTTAATTAAGACTAATGGACCGGTGAAATTGGAAAGCTTTGAAAATAATTTAATATTAAACTTTTTGGATATTTTATTTTTTTTATAATAAATCTGAAGTGTGGAATTGATTTAGCAAAGCGGAAATACCACGTTAATAAACTTCGCGAAATGAAATGAGTGGATATTAAATAGATTCAAATTGGAATAATCTCGCGTCGACAGTCAATTGACACAGGTTTACCTAATGACGAAACCAGTTCCCAGAGGAATTTAATCATTATGAAGTGCAATTTGAAGTTTATATAATTAATTGAAATACCATAAGTTATTGGCATGATATATTATAGGGATTATCACGAGAATAGCAGAGGATATGATTGAAGAAGTGAAATCTACAAACTTGGGAATTTTATTATTCCCTAACTGAATATCTATTTAGGAAGAATGTGTCTATCATCCAAATCCAGAATCAGAATATGAATCAGATGCTGCAAGAAATATCACGAGCAACCGCATTGACAAAAACTGAAAAAGCTCACAGATTTCAAATCAATACAAACATCTCCATGAAGTCTTTGTTTATATCGCAACAAATCACAAATCTAAAGCCTTTGGCCATTACATACATTTGTGCCACTTCTATAAAATAAAGAATAAGATTTTCATGATAACCTTAACGTTTAAGGGTGTAGCCAACACTTTACTGTATCTAGATACATCAGATAATAATAATAATAATAATACGCACCAAGAATTAGTTTCGCATTTATAAATCCGACGGTTATTAGAAAATATAGAAAATGAGTGGAAATCGTATATTAAGAGAATTGAATACGGTAAATCGTCCTCTTAACACAGCTGTGTCCCATTTCCTTGGGTGCCGTGCGAAGACGGATCCGATAACTGGGCAACAACAATCGTGCCATACTCCATACATACATAAAGCAGGGTCGTGTCTGTTTTAAATTAACCGTAGTTCGTAGGAAAGGTTCTGCGCGAATTATCTTGTGGGCAACTGCAATCTATTGTGTTTAACAATGACTACTTGTCGACACGACGGGCAATACCACGAAATACCTCGTAAATTTCACTGACTACCTTATAATCGTGGAAAATGGTTACATCTCAATTTATATACCCATCGTTAACAAGTTTTAATAAGGTGAAAAAGGTCAGAAATTACGATAAAAAAATTAAATGAAATGGTTGAAATAACTTAAAATATAGACATTTGAGTATATTGATTGTGCAATCAACTTTAAAATGTTTAAGTAAATTACGATATAAACTTCTTCAATATAACGAAAGAAATAGTAAAAAGTAAAATATGAAAATTACTAACCATTAAGATTTAAAAGGGAACTCGACAACTATGGTAAGTAGTGCTGTAATATAACCCTTTTGGATAATTATATAATTACCTGGTGGAGCATCATCTCGCTTCGATCTTATGTCGATATTGATACTATTACGCGGTATCACATTTTAAAATCTACGTTACGGACGACCAGGTCCGTTGATCGACCAACTATTAGCCAGATCGTCAAGCCGAACTTCCTGCATGGACGATTTAGTTTACGGCTTTGGCATAAGCAAGGTCTTTTTTTATTCGGAAAGGATTAATTGCATATAGATAATAAAGAAGGGTCGTCAATTTACGCAGTATCTAGTTATTAAATTAGCGCCTCCTAAGCATAAAGCGGGGATTCTAATCTTTACGCCATCGAATAATAACATAATAATGATGGGTAGTAAAATTAAAAGAAAAATGAAATTTTCAAATTTTCCGCATCGTTGATAATGAATATTGGCCTTAATTTAAAATGTAAATTCCGGGAAGTATAAAATTACAAATAAACAATATAAAGGGACTGACTTTCGATCTCATCAGACGAAACGACATTCCCCCCGTTTTCTATAAATTATATTAAGTCTATTTATGGAGGATTTATGAGACGAACCTGTCGGGCTTGGCTCGCGTCAGCTGAGTACCTTCCGATTTACGTCGTGGTAAGATTTTTGACGGCGCATCGCAGAAATAAGTAGGTAACAGGCGGCCGTACTTATTTGGAATGTTGCCCCCGCCGTTCGTCGTCTCGTGATTTTCATGGAACGTCCTTAGCTTATTTATAGATACCGATATAAATCTGCACGTTGTCGAGGAGCGGGTCAGAAGGCTTATGGCACGTATTCAAAGAGACGAACCTGAAACAATTCTACTTGCAAATAGGTCGCTCCTTTTACGAACAACAGCGCAAGGACATCTTATAATGAGGCGTCCATTTAAATAGGTCACGTCATTCTATTCAGATCGACAGGACGATCAGGCCTTTGCTACGCCAGAAACAACACCGTGTCGTCAACAAGACACGACAAAACGAAAACTGAGATTCAGAAATGTGTGACAGCCACTGTGTAGTACGCCAACTAAAAGTAACTTTTTTCTTATGATTTCAAAAGAATTTACCAAGTAATTTTTTGTTTTTAAATTAAGCACAACAACCTGTTTTCGTTCCGTAAAAATTACGCCATATTTCTCAAGAAAGATGACTTTATCTCTTGTTTTAATCCTGAGAAATTCTTGCCATTTCGCACCCATACGACTCACGTCGAAAACGGCTTCCGTTTATTGCCCCTAGATGGGTGGTTAATCCCGAAGGATGCCCCTGTTATGGTCATTCTTCATCGCGCCACCGTAAACATTTCTCAAGAGAGCCAGAAGCGATGACGTAAGATGCGGTCAAAAGGAGCTGTTTCAATCAAAGTAACGAGTCGGAAGGAACAATTTAACACAATCAATTTTGCTTCCGCGACAACTGATTTCTTTTTTGGACTTCCACAACGGGGCTTGTAATTTGATTTAATAACAACCGCGAACATATATTGCGAAATCAAGGAAATACTAGTTGCCACTATAGTAATTTATTGTCCATCAAACTTATTTATTAACCACAAAGCGCCGATGTGGCCGCCGCGCGCCACGCTTACCGCACTTGGCTTACAAAAAATGCCACACGATAATTTATAATTCGATTACGGTTACATCGGTACAGGAAGTCGTGTCGGGATTTTTTTATACGAAACCGCTCAGATAGAGACGACAGCACGGACGACGACGACGTTTCGATGTTCCACTTTTCGTCGACTTCTTCTTCGACAAGAATAAGACGAGAATTCACCAGGGAATACACTTAACGATTCCTAAGAAAACCCAACTATTCGTTTACTTAACAGAAATTTTATCAACATTAATCTACGTCTTGATTATCTGATTATATGCAATACGATTCTCAAAGAGAAATAAGACTGTGTCATTATGGTTAAGAAATAAAAGAGTGTAATAATATAATTTGAAATGGTGGGTCACGAACGATACAAGTGAGAGTGTACCTTAGCATATGCTTTCGATGTATCATTGAAGTTCAATAATTGTGGAGCCATCGAAAGGGAGTTTTCGGTTGTAGCTGCGCGGCTTTGGTATAATGAGAGATCGGCATTCCTCTTGAAAGTTCAAGAGTCACGACGTGCACCCAACATCTGAGAAAATCAATTCCCCTCCCGCAACTAAATCAGTGATTTCATTGCTAATCGTAATAAACAAGACGATCTTCGCCGGTCTTGTGTTGAAGTGTATAAGCTTGTGACCTTTCTACTTCTTCTAGGTGAGAGTTAATTGCATGGCGGTGCCCGGTCGAGAGCAATCCTCGCCACTGCTCGTATGTGAAAGTAATTATGTAAGAGAGCTGCTTCGACCTTGGCATCGGTCTCGACCGTAAAATGGGTGAAGAGCAGGTGAAAAGGAAAGTGCCTTGACGTGAAGGTCGCTCACCTCTCCTACTACGATAGCTTTTGTGTCACTGACCGTGTTGGTTGGCGACTACGACACGATAAAGATTCATCCTCTTCGTCCACGATTAAACTAATTCCGTTCACTATAAAACTAACATAACGTCTCGTAGCATGTGCGAACATGTTTAGCACCATCGCTAATTGCTACGATCATTACCTCACAGTTGGAGACACCTCTCGTTCTATACTCTAAATAATAACCTCTCCTTATACCACCATACGTAATTTTACGATTGCTTCCATCCAATCGACTGTATAAAACTGCAGGAACTCAAATAAATCTAAAAAAAAAGCATTTACCATCTGGCTCATTAATAATAACATATTAACTTCATTAAATATTTACTTTTTTAAATTTATTTATTCATTACCATACATATTACGTCGTCTTTGTTTTCAGGTCGTCTCAGCCAATCTGAAGTTAATCGTGTAATCAACAGGTGAGTCTTTGTCGATTAATTCGTCATATTCAATGATACGCTCGTTGGTATCTTAATGAGGAATCAGCAACAATCTAAATACTCGAGCTGAGCAACCAACCAACAGTTGCAATAGCGCGCGCGTCAACTTAACTCTCTTATTAAAACGCACGCTTCATTTACTTGCGCGTTCCGTCAGCAATGCAAGGATTACACTTATTAACGGTCGTTTACGTTGTACCGTTTATCAACGCGACAGAATGCTGTCTACTCACTTCGAGAGTTTCGCATATCCTCGCATCACGAGGTATTTCACAACGAACGATTTGCTTGAAAGCGTCAACGAAAAATTATTACCGTAATTTAATAGAGTAGACTTTATTTTAAATGCTAATTAATGGATGTAACCTATATAAACACAGCGGAAAGTTAGCTGTAACGCTTCCTTGCGATACAAAAGTTAATTAAGTGTTAGTTAGCAGTAAGGAAACATATATCTTCAGAAGGTAGGATATTTTAGTAAGCGGCGGTACTTTGAAATCATAAAGTGCGAGGGTTTACGCTAATTTCGACTATAATTCGACCAACTCCGAGGATATTGAAATCGTAATTAAGCACTTATTTTAATTACTGGCCATAAATCGGCCTCTCTCCCCCATAAATTTTATTTAAAGCGGTAATAACCACGGTTGAATCATTATTATTAAAAAGAAATCAATTGGAACGTTTTTTAGATGATGATAAAAGGTTTTAAAGGTAATAAAGCTGATGGTACACTTATGTACGGTTTCTTTTCAAAAGGTAGCGCATTAGTCGGTGCTTCCATTAATCTTTTGTGGAAAGCATAAACAAGAAAAAGCCGTCCACAATGGACATAAGGACCGGCGCATCGCGATGAATAGAAACAGCTTCCAATAGGCACGTCTAGAACCATTCGGCGTACTTAAGAATAACAAAGCCGTAAGATGGCAATGAAGAAAACCTAATCAACTTTATCGACCGCAAATGCGCAATGAGCAGAAACTAGACTCGCCGAGTTGTGACGACGCATAAGTTCCGTATAATTCTATAACGTTAGAGATGAAATTAGGGAAGACCTCTTAAAGCATTGCTGCTGTAGAATAAATTACGTGCTGACAATAGGAAATAGTGCCTAAGTTGCCTGGCCACCGTGACTCCACAACATGTCTCCGTGAATCTCGGCGCGAAATTGCTTTGTACGCGTCGTTTGTTACCGGAAGACGACGGCGGCCACTGCTTTACCTTAACAGAAAGGTCTGCTCATAGAACCGACCTGTACCGACGAACGACCAGATACCATCGGGCAGTCATTTGCAATCTGCGTCAATGTAACTCGATCACCGATCTCGAGATAACCGAGACGACAAAATGGACAGCAACGGTAAACAAAAGGAATTTCTAAAGAACTAAAAAGAAGTCTTCCATTTGTTTCTGTTTGAAAAATTTTCTGAAACTAAACCAATTTTCCAGCTGGCACCCGTCCAAACGAAACTTTTCTCGTAAAGTATCCGAACAGCTAATAAACAACTCCTTGGAGTGTCGCCGGATACTTACTACACATTTATAACGCACTTATAACATGATCTAGTCCTAAAATAATTTTTGCATTAAAAAAAACTGCATTTGTAAAGATTTGTATCGAGGAAGAGATTCCAAGAATCGCTTACCCGGCTGAATGCCCACGTAATTATCGCTAAACGCCGTTCCGGAATGACAGGTTGCCATCGAAGCACCGTAAAAATCCGATCTTCAGGGATGAAAAAAAACGTCGTCGTCGTCGTCGTCTTCTTCTCATCCTCGTCAGTTCGACCAATGTTGAATTTATAGGCGGGTCGAGTTGACAGGGTCGATGACTGGCCAGCAGCGAGCTCACTCGTCGAATTTAAAAATAAGCGCTAGCGGCGGCATATATCATTCCGCACAATACCGACCTATCAATCATACTCCCCTTCTGACAGTCTAACTACTGCACACTATTTCACAACGGGCTATTTATATTGAACACATCGACAACAATTACGGAGGGATCGTACAATAAACAAGCTCAGAACGGAGGCCGCGGCATCGTAAATACGACTCTACTCTCTCCGTTTTGGTATCGGGGAGATGGCCGTTTTGAAATCATTGGGAAAATCATGGATGCCTTCATTAGGTAATCCGCGGGACGACAAGCTCGACGTATATCATACGGATCAACGATCGGCCGTATACAATGGTGACAACCGCCCAAAGAAGGTGAAGAAAGAACCGCATGCCGGTTCCACTTCAACTACAGCATACTTTTTTTATTTAAACTACATCCCATTCATTTCATTTTCATACATAAATTCTTTACTTAACTTGCTATGGAAATATCTCTCATAAATATTTATTGATAAATAATTAATTAACAATCCTTTGGAGACGTATAGCTTCGTCGTGGCTAAACTACGTAGACCTTTACTCTAATGCAGATCTAATTAGGAAAAAACATCTTATCAGGGGATATAATGAATTGGGAAACGTACTTGGGGAAAAGTTTAGAAATCACTGTATTAGATGATTCACAGAGAATGTAGTTTTGTAGGATGAGAATAACAATGTAACAGTTGCCTCAATTTGAACACGTTCGAGAGAAATCTCCATTACCTGAAGATAAGTAGTTTATAGAGGCGCGAAGCCTCAATCAATTTATTGAGTAGTTTAGAAATTACAGCTTTGCCCTATGTTTGTGTAAAGGTTTAAGGGGCGGTTGCCGCGTTTGTAGCTTGGCATAGAGGTACTGGGATGTGATTTGGGGCTATTAATGTCTCGTTATAATAATTGCGGTTAACGGGACGAAAGCCAGACAATGTGGGGGCGGCAGGTCGAGCGTAGCAAGTGTCGATGATAGGCTCACTTAGTAGGGGCCGTTGTGACCCCAAGTTAGTTGAACACGTTGGACGACACACGTCCGGCTAATTACGGTTGAAAATTATTAAGAAAGACGAAGACGGCAACGTACAGTTATAATCGACGAACGGTTCTGAAACGGACCTGAAAAATACCGGCGACATTGACCCAAATAGCTACGACGGTGGCGTATTCGAACGGGACCATTGTGCTGTTATCGAGATAAAAATCACTTGTTCATTTAGTGCCCTCGAGGGCCACAACAACGTAGCCGTACGAAACCCGGTTGCGTTGTCTCGACGATAAAACTCGACGTAAATCTAACCGGATGACCGCCTCCCGCTTATGACACCTGATGGCGTACCACGCGCGCCGAAGACGAGCTAAAACCTGAATGAGACATAACGGTACTGTATGTTCTCACAGTTTCAGAGTGTATCTACAGCCACCATAATCACGCGAATGTCGTCAAAAGCTAATAAATAATAAATTATATTAACTATACATACAACATTCTTACACCTCTTTTTATGACTTTAACATACTAGAAAGCTTTATAACCCTATTTAATAATGACCATAAAGTAATTATCTAACGACATCCTAGAAAGTAGTTGATCATAAATGAAAAACGATCACGACACTTCGATACTGACTACTATTAACGATCGTATTTGATAAGAAGCTTTAAATGAGTTCTCAGAAGCAATATTCGTCTGTAATCGAACGATCTGATTTGCGGTGTATGAACCGCATTAATTGAAACTTGAATAACCGGACTTATACAAGATGTCGTTCCGTTGATCTTTACGGTATTAAGCTGGTGTAACGGGCGGGTTAAATGCGTATTATAAATTTGGAGTAAACGCCAGGATATCTGCATTCCTTACGAGCTCGAGGGTTATCAGCGGACTAATGAGCGAAGAATCCGATTGGCATTGGCAAACGGAAAGCTTAATTGCAAAACACAACCGAGCGACAATACATTCCAACTCGTAGATATGTGTCCGCGATAACACGCGACGGGGCGGAACCACAGAGAACATTTGATATCATAATATCTTAGTTAGGTTGTTGCTGTATCTTGGAAAGTGGCTCATCAACCGATCCAGATAAAAACTGGATTATTATGCAACTCGAATGATATCGGACGTTTACATCGGAGAGCGAGAGTAACCCCACGGAGAGATAATCAACTCTCTTAATCGCCGTTTCTATCTGATATCATTCTTTTGGCGGGGCACGTAATTAGTCGATTTGAGACAGTGACAATACGGTAATTAGAAACGGCACGTTATTGCCATCATGATTTACGACTTATTTGCATATGCAAATCATCCTTAGTGCGTACATTACGGTGACACGGCACTTGAGGATTGTAAGCAATCATAGATGATGGATTTAATTTAGTGATAAGATGAACGTTTTATGTTTTATATTAATCCATAAAATGACTTAGTTTACATCGACATAGCCTAAATAGAGTAAAAGATATTTAGAGTATTTCTACTTACACAGATTGCAATTTAGATGGATGTAAATCGCCTCATTTTTTTTCCAAAAACCCTACTACTACTGAATTTGCCTTATTATCCACCGACCGTACAGCAACAGTCAACATTCATTAAGTTCATCAAGTTAATTTAATGCCCGATGAGATGTTGGCCTGCGCTTTCTAGATCTCTTAGATGCTCGCCCGATAGCGATCGAATGCAGCTCAAGGAGTCTGATGCTGATGTCGTAAAATACGAAGGCCCGTGGGCCAGAAAGATCTACGAGGGCAAGAAAGAAGCAGTTGGGCACGCACCATCCGGTTTCTCGAGAAATGGCAGAAATGGCCTCGCAAGCCGACAACGACGACAACTATCGTCCAGAAGTGCGTAGATCCCCTTAGTTATGTGCGCTATGCGGTCGTAAATCAAATAATATCGCGTTCTTGCATATCAAAGCTCCAAGCCGCCGCCTTTCGCTACTACCACGTATTTACTACGACGAGGTTTTAATTAGCGGACTGCGACGATAAATAACCCTTCGTAGGATATGCCGGGATAACACCCCGCCATTCTGGCTTTCCTCCCTTTCGTGGTAACCGCACATTCATCATTCCGCTAATAGAGGGGACGGAGGAAGTAACAGAATAATGACCAGAAGCAATATTGTGGATAGCTGTATATTACGACGAAAAGAGACAACTCGAAAAAGACGACGACTATATTACGCACCAAGTCATCTAAGCGGAAGCTTACTTCAAGAAATTTATGTGGGGCACTTGCTATGTAGATTTATTTATGAATTAATTAATTTATCTTTTTTATTTCAATCCAGTTTTTGTGGCCATCTCATACATTGTGGTTTCATGCTGTAAGGTTTCAAATTTATTACTAACTAAATTAGTTTTCATAGAAACTCATTTTGTACCCATTAATATTATGACTAATTAATGAAAATAAGTAATAATAATATACTATTAAATAATTTAAAAAATTGTTTCAGCTAGTATAACAATTCATCATTAACTTAATTACATAATGTGCCAATTAGTTGTATTGAGGCTATGGTCGATTGAACTACTTAGATCCTTATAGAGAAGTGGTTTGCGGCGATGTTCGTAATATATGTTTTGCATAAATGTTACACATTAGAAACTATCTTAACACACATTGAATCGGCATATTAAATTTTATTTATTTTTACTTTCTCGGATATACGAGAAACATCAAGTCTAAAATTTATTGAAACTAATCACTATGGATGCTGCATCAAATAATTGGGCGATACAAAGTAGATACCAGAATTATTTATTGCTAATTAATTATATTTCTAGATTTTAATCACTCTGATAAATACACTCTAGTTAGAAAGAAAAACGTTCATACAGATTGATTAATCAGATGCAATTATATTTGCTATGGCATTTTGCGTCGCTACTATACAATTTCAAAACCAGTTGGTAATACGTAATTTCCCCCTTTATACCAACAACAAAAGCAAAAGCTTGGACAATCAATTACATTCTGTTAATTCTCCCCTAATTAACAGATTAAATGTTTATTGAAATTGTCTCTTGATGTGCCCAGGTGGTTTTAAGCGTTTCATATTACGCCGCGGTATGCGGTACTGACGTCGATGTCGACTCTGATGACGTAGATAGTACAAGACAAAAAGAATTTAATATAAAGGAATTATTTGAATCCACTGCGATTCAAATTCCAACATGTAGAGACGGGGGTCGACGTCGAGCCGAAAGCATACATTGATCTACTATTCGAGATAAGGAATCGGAGATACAACGAGAACTTCCCTTATCGAAACTAGTCGTGTTCGTTATGCTTAATTAACTTTAGCTATATACGTTTGTACCGTTAAAAATTTCCCGTATTACATTTGTAATTACAAATCTTAGATAGTGTTTTAATTGATTTGAAATTACAAGATGTGTTTTTGACATTTATAGACGTTAATTTTATATTTATTTTATTTACTTTTTTTTAGATATCCAATATGATGTTGCGGTACGTTCTACTCGCAACAATCGTCATTGTGGTCGTTCACGGTCAAAATGAGTCGGCTGAACACGAGATATCCTCAGGCGAGACAATGGCGCCTTCTCCGGAGCCTGGCCCTATCGAAAGCTGCGACCAGGACATGATTGGATTCGAACTAATCACCGGATATGTCTTTTCTGCGCCCCCTAATGCGATGTCCACATTTAACACAGTAATGCTAACGGATTGCCTGGAGATGTGTGCAGGGAACGATTCTTGCCAAGCGGTCAATTTTGAGACGGGCCTTTGCATTCTCTTCAATACTAATGCTGAGGTGTTGCCAGGTAAGTTCAACCATCCACTTCATTATCTCTCACAATAATGTTACGTTCGCAATAAGTGATTCATCTAAACCGGAGAAGATTCACAAATTTTATCTAACCAGCTATGGTAATGAGAGTTGTCTTGGCGTTACTTAACCCTCCTCTCTCTCACCAACTATCTGATCCCGTGTGTAATTATTTGTATGTTCAGTGCATGTGAATGCATGCAAATGTCTGCTTGCGCATGTCTGTATCACATGTCACCATCGCTGTACCGAAGAAGAACTCCAAACCTCCTTACATAAACGATCGTCGTTTTCTTATTTGTAATGGGTCGTATTTGCTTAAGTTAGGTGGGTACTTTCCGAAGCGGATATCTCACGTTACGACATTAACGTCGATATCTAAAACATAACCAGCACGATTTATCCAAGTAGATTACCTTAACTCTATATCGTTGCTAGAGTATCATGTAGCACACTTCAAGCACTCGTCCTTTTCATTTCATATCTACCTAATGGCTACAAATTAAGACAGTAATGGGTCCGATACGACCGAGAAAACCAGTATGGATTATGAGAATACCACGTCTTATTATCGTTGCTATTAAAGTCCAGATTTATGAATTTTCGATTGATCATCGAAGTCCATAATTGATTATAGGGCGATCGAGAACCAGAGGTGATCGCGGCTCTTTGATGCCGAGACCTTAATGCGCGGCATAAATTTCGATGGTTCGTACTAATGCTGTGTGCCCGTGAATGTCTCATTATAATAGCTTGAGGGCGAGTCATATATCTCGTTCGCGCGCTTCCCGATAGATTAATAGGTTTTCGTATAGTACTAAAACAAAATCTACACGAAACGCAACCCCATTAACATTAATTGGCGCGACAATTCCTCTGCAATTTATAATTCGACCATAACTCAAACGGGGAATCCCGCTTTAATTGAATTCCAGCGCGTCTTTGTTTGTAGTTTTCGAGTAGAAAAAGTCGGCCGCCCACCGATCCATTGTTTTACCCGTTCTTTGCGGCCCTTTTTCCCCCCATCTGGAACATTATTAATTACTCGGCGCTTCCTTGGACCGTTACCCAACTGGATTATGCAACACTTCTCTTTTGGGCCGCTCCTCAGGCCGTGTTTGTTGTTCGCTTTGTGCCCCACAAGGCGATCGCTTGCCCATGTAAATTATGGTAATTGTAGTTCCTGCTCCGATCGATCCCGACGCTTACGAGATCTGGGATCGTTACTTTGACATTGAATTAATATCACCGAAGACGTTGGGTCGTACTTCTTGTAAGGAACCAATTGCGCTATCACTTCCTTTATTGGTTCTTGACTAAAAATGGCCAACAACCGTAGCAAAAGAAATCAAAATTATTCTTATCGCAACCAATTTGACGCTTAATTAAACCGTTCACAATTAGCACGACTAATTGTAAATGAATTTAAGAAGTTAGAACAGCAATTACACAGATGTTAAGCGCAAAAGTATTCCGCCGTTTATTTTAATAGTATTACTGACATCAAATCGCTACGAAAATTAGAATTTTCCAAATAGTTGATTTTATATAAAATTTCTCGTTAACAGATCACGTCTTTTACACGAAACCATAACAGTAAACCGTTTCGCCAAACATGGTTAAAGCTTAAGAGAACGTTAACAACCCGAGATTATCAAGTGAAGATGGTCCCGCCAAGAAAAACGGCACAAACACCACAAGATAATGGAGCATCACGTACGGCTATTTACAAGTGGCGTTGCCACGCAATTCATTATTTCGCGTCTGCTTATTAAGTTGCCCGTATATGGTGAGTTAGCGGTCGAAACGCAACAACGGGGTCGTGTATCGCAAGAGAGACGACGGGGCAAAAACAATTAACGCGCCTACATTTCATTAATACAGGTTGTGGCTTGTAACGTAAACTTGGGCAAATAAGTGCCTCGGTGCTATCTCGAGGGCACAGAGCGAATTACGACGTGTCCACGAACGATAACTGGAAGCGCGACAACAATTAAGGTAGTTATTTCAAATGCGAAACGTTAAAGTGTCTTATTACCTTTGGTAACGCCATCATCGATTGGATATATAATTTTGTACTCACCTGAAACAAAAAAAAGAAAACAATTAACAATAATAGTTTTAATTTTAATTTTACGCTTGAAGTAGAAAACAAATTTTGATTGCACGGTTCGAATAGTGTAATGGTAATAAACATCCACAAGTAAAAATCGAAAACCATTATTTGATCAATCTATACGGGGAGTATAATAGGGTGCATGTCGCTAGCAATTTACACGTATGCCGCTTCGATTACTAAAGTTCGATTGGAAGAAACCGAAATGGTATTGTGTGTCGGCTACTATTATACTATCGAAGAATTAGATATTGTTGCCCTCGACTGGGTTCTACAATTACACGTCTATGTAAATCATAACGATTTTGAGATTTTAAAAATGTTTCCGCAGTTTCCATTTTACAAACGTAAATGGAACTAAAGGAACGTGATAACGCGCTACTTTTTTTACGTCTCTTTGGTCCATTCACACGGAGGATTCTTTCACTAAGCATAGACGTTTTTTTTTAACAACGATTCTTGGAGTTCCTTTTCGATAACTGTACAATGTTCTCGTGCGTTACCTACTAAGGTAGCGTTCAACATTCGAGAACGGTCTCGCTAGCAAAAACACTGTTACATTCTCAATTAAATGGGAAGAGAAGTTACATGCTGGATACGCGCACTTGGTTAAACGATTAGCTGCTTTTAGCTTTTTCCCCCCGCGTGTATTTAGTATTCTCAATCGTGCAGAACACATAGGGGACCATTTACTCATTTATGGTAGAACATTTACTTGTACGGTCAAATTATGCAAGAGGAATTGAGTAGTTAGCGCTTACCGTTTCGTATTATGCAAAGACAAGTAACATAGATCGTTACTTCTAACAAGCTACTAATGATCAAAGATACCAACAAGAAAATAGACATTTACTAATTAACGTCGTGTATTGAAACTTAATTGATATTTATGTAAGGAAGTTCAAATTACGTTATGATTTCTTGAACACATTTTGGATATTAGGGGAGGAACGACTGTTTGTCCAATCTAATGAAGCATATTCGTCAATCAGGTCCTTATTTACAGAACGTGTAAAAGCTCGTTTAGAAGAACAAGAAATACAAGGTAACTTTAGGTAGTAAACCTTAACGCAAACATTTTCCAGGTCGAAGCAGCAGCAAATCTCGATACAAACAACATCGCTTCAATGAACTAATACGATCTTTCCAGGAAAAGAAGCAGAAAAGGGCGTCAATATTACCGTATATGAGAAAATTGAGATGTTACAATATAAATAAACTTGATGCTATTTCTTATTACATCAAACAGAGGAAAAATAAATAAATAAATAAACAAAAATAAACATTTAAGAGGACGACGCAATTTTCCATATTAAAATATTGATAAATGAGGTCATGAGACCTTAGCTGCTCCAGATTTTGGTTAACACGAAAGCGTTATTATCCAGAAATAAGTATAATTATGAGCAATCACGTCTTTCGCGTCGTTGACGTGTTGTAGATATTAGTGTTGGTTGAATGTTCATCGGCGATGATTTGACGCGGGAAAGCGGTCGTCGTCGGGGCAGAGATCGCGTCGATGATAATTTTTGTTACAGAACATTGGTTTGTGCTTATCCACGTTGCTCACGTTCGCAGTATTTTTTTGTCCCTGTGAGACCGCAATTATCCCGATTAAATTGTGCGGTTTTTCGAAACCGATTCCGGGCGGCCTTACCTCAGGTGATCCGAGACGGGTTTACACTTTAATAACAGGCGCTGTTCAACGTCCCTTTACCGCCGCTGAGATAAGGGAGGTGCGAATCGTAACGGGTCAGGACAGCGTGCAATTTACGTAATCGCGCAGTACCCGTTCCAGTGTTAAATTGCCGTTTGCGAAATTTCATCCGGGACGGGCATTAACATAATGCCCGATCTCCTTCCTAAACGCCCCAATCGCCCTTTGCTTGCACGAGTTTCGACATCTAAATTGGTAACCAAGGTTCTCAACACGAAACGAAAATTTTAGAAAAAAAAAGGTGTATTTATTAATTAACTCATTAGATTTATTTCAATTTCTTCTTCCTTCTGTATTTAGACACAACTGCCCGTTTTTCTTCACTTTTTTGTCCCCTAATCGTTTGAAAGGTTTTTATTCGCTCATTCGATGCATAACATCGCTATGAAGTATCAGTTATGTATCATTGAAAAAAAAATTACAAAAAGATCGTTACAAATCTACAACAACACGTCCTTTCGTGCTTTTCAAGATTAGTAGTTGCATTTTTAACGTTTGCTATCGAGAGTGTTCTTGATTTTTATTTTTTAGTCCACTTATTATTCGAGTGCTGCGCAACCCACGTTTTCAACAGACACTAATCGTAGGATTTCTTCAATTGTCGCAGCTTTCAGTAGGTAGTGATTTTTAACCGTTACGCGCGCGATTTTTTTCCCGTCGTGAGCTTCCGTCACGATAATCCCTCAGCAGTTCTCCCTAACGGTTCGTTCGGGAATTAAAAGAAAAAAAACGGGGTCTCCTCAGTCGCTAAGTGGACGCATTCGAAATGGGCATTGTTTGTTCGCATCACAGCCTAGGGATTGCGGCCTAAGGTGATTGTTTCCGCATTTTCCAACCCGGTGACGGTAATTGACGTTATTACGGTAATCGGAGCGGCGTCATCGGTGCCATTGTTGAGCCGCTGGTTTATTAAGTAAACAAGGAACGACCAAGGTGGTAATTACTGATTGGGACTTAGCGCCTATGCTTCATTCGATTCGGTTATTGTTTGATGTCAATGATGAATAGATGTTGGGGCGATTTACTTCATTCGCCAGATGTTCAGATCCATTTAATAGTTAGCATACATTTTTATTAAAGTTACTCAAAGAAGTTGTTAACTATTAACCATTTGCGTTTTATAAGCTGTTTTATTTTAGAACATTCAGTAACATTAATCATTTAATATTCGCTTCATGCAAAGATGGTCAATACAAAGACCGACGCGCGTAGTCAAAAACCGCCGCAAAGTTAAGCACAATTAACCTGCAATCGCGCGGCACGACCGCACTGGCTCTGCTTCGCGGGCAATTACTTCGGCTGGCGATTTTTACTTTTAGATGCTGTGTCGTGCAGTGGCAACAATTAAGTAATTACCCCTTCAGCTGTGACGCGCGACCGTTAGTTCACAAACTGAACGTACGTAGGTATGTAGACACGCGCTCAACCGCCTAGGCAATTATTACATTTCGTTAACCCCACGTTATAATTAACATTGATACAACGGCAGCTAGCGTAATTGCCTTTCATCGATCACACAGGAACGCCTTCGACGTCACCAGCGGAGATACCTCTACTAATAGTGATTAGGATCGAAAGATCGATTAGAATTATTATAGATTACTAAACATTTTTGAAACAAATTCATTATAATTATCGACGTGAAAAAACCTTCCCCACAAACAATTTTCTCTCCACACAGTTTACCTGCCCCAAATTACTTGTTTATGAGATCCCCTTTGTTAATTTTACAACCTCCCTAACTGTGAAAAGACCCAAAGTCGTAAACAGCGACCGTGTGAAATCTGTAACATCATTATTAAGTTGTTAAAATAACAACATCATATTCATAATTATATCATAAATTAGTTTTTATCGAATTAATCCAAAATCGTTTCGATGAGATAACTAATGTTATTCAATAATTCTGAGCACCACCAAGTCGAGAGATTTATTCTTAAACACGCCCACCTACCTTCATTTATGCATTACTCCCATAATGCAGTATAATTATGACGGTACGCGGTCCAATTAAGTTAATAATGCAGGAAGACTCTACCAACTAATCGGTTAAAATGCGGTCTGAGACGTTTCGCGATTTAATTCGCACTCGTTCTAACTTGTGTATTTTTTGATTTTCTTAGGGGCATTGACCGAATCAGAACTGCCGGTCTTCACTATCTACGCGCAGAAAAGCTGCCTGGGGGTGAAACCATGCGAGAAATCCTGGTGCATCGATCGAGTACAGAATCATAGGCTTGTCGGATACACACAATCCTATCATACTGTCAACAACAGGCAAGAATGCTTCGAGCTTTGCTTAGGGGAAACCGACTTTACATGCAGGTAAGCTCAATAATTAATTAATCTATGTTAAAACCAAAAAAAAAAACGTTATTGATGTAATTTTACCATGCCCTTATTAATAACTCCTTTACCCATTTGGACTCAATCGCTTAACATGCAGTTTCGTCTGAATAGAGACATTCGTATTTGTCAGTTCGAAAGAGCGTAAACATGGAAATTGCTTCGTCAGGTTATTCATAAAGCGTTGACGTGCAGTATTTCGCATCATTTTTCGTTAACTCCAAAACAAACCATCTCATCTATCTTCCTTTCTTCATACGTCTCTATGGTATGTGGCACGTACTATGTGGTGAATGTAAATATTTTAAATCTTATTTTATTTGGTTGGAATATAATAGAATAAAATTACAAGACTATTTTTAACCCCAAAGCGATATTATCGTCTTGGCTCAACACCTAATTGGTGTCTCATTACGAGCAAGTAGGGTGCAGTTACTTCGTCCGGAGATGCAACAAGGTATCAATTAAGACGAGAACGTAATTAAATATTTTTCTTGTTAATTGTAGAGACGCAAATTTAAATAGACTATATTAATTGATTAAATTGAAAATAATAAAAAGATTTTTTATAATCAAATTAATTGATGGACACTCAATGGTGTGGTCGGTCCGTTTCAATTACAATCTCATTCTGGGTGAGGACGGTAAGTTATCGTGGATATACGTGTGACAGGTATGCAATTTACGTCTGATTCACATAAAAACTTAAGGGGGAGAAAGACGGCCGAGCTGGCTCCAATCTTCTCTTCTCTCGTTTGAATAGATTGGTCGTCTCCGGATGATATGGTGAACAGGGTGGTGACGTTAACGGTATTTCAAGGATAATGGACCGAGGAGAACTAATAGACGAACAATGTGGATCACCTCGTTGGTGAAAGACTTTTATTTTTCGTCTGAAACGAATAGATGCGATATAATTAATGGCCGATATAAATAGCTCTCGTTAATCATCGAGAATCAGATAATGTAGTCTCGACTGTAAGATATTAGTATAGTTTTATTGTAATTAATTTATCATTGAATTCAAACGGAAATCGCATTCTCGAAAAAATAGTTTGAAATTAGTTTCAGTTTCTTTATTTGCATCGACGATTTTTAACGACTCCCATCTCATTTTGAGCACCTCATTACTGGCGCAGTGACTGAAACCATTAAGACCGGGAAAAATTATTTCGATCAAAACATCCCTCTCTCTTCACATCCCCATCATATTTCTAGCGAGAACACGCGCGGTTTACACCAGTTATTCAAATGCCCCGCAATTTTTGCGAGCGCAAATTGCGAAATTTCCTCCCGTAATTGCGTTCGCATCACATGCGCACAAATTGTCCATCTGCGTGCAATCTCGTCGCCATACTCTTTTTATCTTACACTTCGCGGGGTTGGCAATTTGCCCACCGTCTCATCGTGCTCCTCTTTCTTCTTCTGTGCTGCTCTTGTTACGACACGGCTCCGGGGTTTCGTGATGGATGGTCGACGTATTATTCATCTCTCCACCCGAGATATGCTAAAATAATTGCACACGCCGCAATCACGTATTAGCAATGCGCAAACGTCCAAAGGGTCACGGAAAATTTACAAAATTACCCATTTAGCACACCGAGACGCGCCTTTAAGTATATAGAACACTAAGAATTCCATCGTCAACCAATCCAAGGGATGTTTAATTTCAAATCGGAGATCATCTTGCAAAATAATACGCCATTATTTACTAAAACCAGAAAGGAAAATTGGCCAAAGATACTCATATCAAGACTGATGGAATTACTGTAGAATGTTATTACAGTGGCTGTGCGGTATAGTAGGGTACTTTGTTCAAAATTGGCCGTTTTATCAGCTAATTGCAATTAGTTTCGGGGGCAGGACGGACTCTCAGCAGTTGGTTATCGAGGGGCCGTTAGTACACTATTAAATTACACCGGCGAAAGGTCACCAGGCAGCAACCCCGGAAGACGAGCAGCCACAGCGATAATTACCAAAGTTTCGTTCTCGATTTAAACAAACCTATCGAGCTCCCTATTGGAAATTAGCCAGGAGTATTATCTGCGGTCGCGAGGATTGAGGAAGCGGAGGTGTTACCAGGATAACACCTGCACCTGTTATCTACATCCTCGGTCGAGAAATAAACGACGAAACTTTGGCTCATTTTACCAAAATATATTTCGTACAATTAACACCATTAAATTTCTAGTACAATGGTTGAAAACTTTATTTATTTACCCGGAAATTGAGCAGGATTGCAATTCTTGTGGCCCTAATAAATAACAAGGAGGAAGGCCGACAATGGGCGAATCTCTTGTCATCGTCGACAGGATTCCGGCATCGCGAGCCCTCCTCCTTTGCTCGGGCGACAGACTAATTATGCAGAGTATTTTGCCCGCATTATAATCCTACGACCTCCATCGTCGTAAAAAATACAATTGTTATTTGAAAATATGTATAAATAAAAAATAATAATGACGTAATTTATTATTACAAGTAAATCTAAACGAACACAGGATGCTTGCCATAATGCGGTAAATGCCGGTGTCTATATAAGGCGACGAAAGAAACGGTGGTGGGTTCGATGACCGTCGTCGTAGTATCTCCGATCAAAATCTGGAAGGCGGAAACGCATTTATTGTTTTCTGCAGGGCCGCAATAAATTTTGCCTTGTAACCACCGCGAAGCGAAATCGAGCCCTGAAGGTTTGCACTATTTCAACAGATTTCGTGACTTCCGTTCGTCATGCCCACAATTTACTTCACGAGCAGCAGGAGCAATGGCTTTGAGACACACCGTACGAAAGAGAAGGTTTTATGGTCAGACGACAACATCGAACTCTGGCGCGCTGCCGGATTAAGCAAAGTCGGATTTTATGGTAGAAATGGACAACGTTAATTAAACTACAAGCTTTGGTTCAGAAATTGTGGCCAAGGAAGACCATTCAATGGAATCGTCATGTATAGCTTCGGGATCCTAGTCTTGTCGATTGAGATGATTTGTGAATACCTTATATGCGATTCTACGAAGAGTTTTAAATTTCTACTACAGATTAAATAAAACCCGGTTTGCGTGAGAATGTACAAGATATAATAGCGCCTTGTTAAGTCCATTACGAATCTTTTGTAATCAGGTTTTCTTAAAGAAAAACTTCATGTAGGTCAGAGAGATCAGTCGTGACCCTCCGCGCTTGCTGATTACCTTGTCATTTCACGTGGACTATGCCGATTGCCGGTGACACTAATGAGCGAGCAATTTCCCTTTTGATGGAACCGTACCGTTAATCGCAAAAAAAGATTGTACAGTTAAGTACATGTAAAGTTTTGCAAATATACTACAATTAATCGTTCATTTTGAGTCTTAAAATCGATCAGAATGTTGATGAAAATTGATGATCCATACAACGTAGAACATAAAACGTAGTACATAGTATCGTGAGAAAATAGCTGCTTTTCTACACTCCATTTTCGCGTAACGATACCTATACAATCAACCCATTATTAATTCGGTCATCTCAGCAACTGGTCATTAATCTTGCATGAGTGTTAATTAACGAGGCCTCGTACGATGATAATTAGTCCGCGGGTAACAATAATAATAGAACGATTTTCTACCCTTCTTTTTCGACCAAAATAAAACATCTTAATATAAACCGTTATAGAAGTAAACCACTCAAATTAAGCAAGTCCACCTTTTACGTGTTGGCCACGATAATTATATCAAGTTCAATCGAGTGCTTACGGTACCATTTACAGGAAGGCCAAGTATCACATCTCAATAATTATATCGTGCGCTCGAAACTATATTCTTGGCATCTTTTTATAGAAATTGTATAGGTTTAGAAGTGATAATCATCGCCAACGACGTAAATATCGACTTCAATAAATTAAAACGGACCGAGGTGTGTGTAGGTGCGCTGCGAGGTGCTCTAGAAGTGTCGGGTCTCATTTAAATCCCAATTAATTCGAAGAGCCGCTAAGAAACTTTGACAGCTACAAGGACGTTGCGTCCACTTCCCGTACACCCATCGCAGAAGTGTTCGCAGAGTAACTCGGTATAACGTGGGAATGGGCAACTCTGGGAGTAGCTACGGCAATGCCGTAAATCACTTATCGATATATGTGGAACGGCCCGACAATACTCAGCAATGCGTTGCGAACGTTGCTTGTACATCAATTTGTACTAGATTGGATTAAATCGGACGGCAGGCGCGGAACGGCAACGGCGGCAGCCGTAAATAAAAGAACCGTTCCCCATTCCGCATTAATATTAATACGAGCCGGCCCAGTAACTTAACTGTATCGCTAGGCAGTTTGTCTTCCAACGAGCTCTAATTAATACGTTAATATGGGACCGTGTCGTTTATCGACTGCCAATACCATCCTGATACGATACTAATCGGATTACCAGTTTGAGTACTTCATATATCCCATTATACCATATTTGGATCACATATGCAACAAAATTCATATAAATTTTAAATTAAAATTGCCTACATAAACAAGTTTTTAACGAATACATTTTCCATCAATATTTAATAAATAAATCGTTTTATATAAAATTGTTTCAAACAATTATCAACATAAAAGGAAATAAATGAAGTATATCTCTGTACTTTATTTTCTTCTTTTTGGTGCCATACTTAAACATTTGTGATCAACATTATGTGTTTACTTCCATTCCTTGTAAAAATGTGGTTGAAGAGGGACATATTAACTGCCATAGATAGAAATGCGATTCCTGCTACAAAATAGAAACACGAAAACAATGATGTTGGAAGATTTGGGTCATGTGAATATAGAGCAATGAAAATTCAAGATCAATTGAGGAATTTATCCACTTTCTTTTTGAACCAAATTCATTTCTAATAATACCGTAACAGTTATTTGAGGCAACAAAATTCTACCTTATCGTCACTTGTAATCGAGGTGCTACAACCGCGAGAGAGTGGAATGTAGGCCAGTTGGTTTATTTCATTAAATTGATAATATACAAAACTGTTACATTATCTACTCTGATTATTTGTACTTATAAATCATGATATACGACCAACTGTACCATGAGTGTTCTAAATTCACCGATATAAACTAACAATACTATACAATTAATACGGTTAATTTAAAATTACACAACATTACGTAATTTGCCGGTTGAGGTGGAATCTTAAAAATTTTAATCTATAGAAATTTTTTAACTTATAAATTGTATAGTAATGATCTCTTCAAACATTTGTTCACCACTCTCAGCAAATACTTCAATTTCCATCCTTGTACACAATAAGCTTTTGAGACCAGTTTATATTCAAAGCTCGCTTTGATTCGACCAGAGTAGAACGGATATTTGATGGGTAGATGTGCTCCGCATAGCAAAGAGACAGAAACGTTTCAGTAGATTTGCGTTGTCAAACGGCTGATGATCAGACGAGGAACCGTTCATTAACACGTGGGTTGGAAGCACACCCATCGCGGAAGAAAGGTCGATTGTTAGAAAATACTAAATCGCGAAGCCGCACCCGCTCTAATAATTTATGTCGAAGAAATAGTTTTCATTCTAAACGTTGTTAACAGTATTAGTAAGTAAATTGAAGATTTTTTTTTGGTAGGTCTTAATTAACCAACCAATAAAAACGTAAATTCTCGTTTTATTGAAGAAAAGTTCTAATTGGATTTTTTTAATGAGATGACGCTTAATAGCAATTTTTTACATTAACTAAAATCTTTAATTTTCAATTTAAGTAAAAAAGCAGATCTGAAATTGTACAATTTTGTGCCGCAAATTATTTCCGCATACTTTAGAAAAGCTTAAAAACCCGCAGCAGTTCAATATATATCTACGGTAACGATCCCGAAGAAATAAGAAGTCCTTCACTTTCATTTTGCGGTTAAGACGTCGGCAACTGACACACGGTCAGTAGATTGGAGTCTTCTTTAAATGTGCCTCTTTTAATTCTGAAGCTGGCGAGGTCTCTTCACGACGTGCGCTGTAATTAATTTTGCGCTGCGGTCACCCGCGACGATTGATTATAGAATCATCACAATCCGTTACGTTCATAGTTCAATTTGAGCTGGTGGTTTGTTTGTCTGACCGGTACGTATAAACGGAACATGGCACTACAAAGAGTACCACAAGCCGGTTGTGTTCTTTCGTCGCGTGGTACTTTGTCACACATCGCGTAATTGGCTCCATTATATATCTTATTATTCCTCGGTCGGCCACGTACTAGAAGCGGGTTCTTGATTCCGCTAGTGTAGAGGAATGACTTTATAAAGTCTCTGGTCACAGTTGAGTTGCTAATGGCATTCCGATCGGGAGTTAATTTATTAAATAGACGACAATTACCTTGTGTCTGTGTCTAGTATTACAAATTCCCCATTGGCAATGTTATTAACCACTAATTACTAACTATAGAAGGTAATAAAAAATAAAAAAGGAATCATTTAAGATTTACTTTTATTGGATTTAGATAAATCTTTTGAAGGAATGATGAGGTCCCGTTGTGGTTAGATGGTAGATAGAGTGTAGCTGGCACCTAATTAGGCCTGATCTCCTTAATTTATTTTAATAAGGGCTCCTCAGGCGTCGCAGCTCCCATTAGCGTCAAGGGTGGGGTCATTAAGACGATATCACGCTATCTGTGCGACAACTCGCCATGAAACACTATCGCGAAAGTATTTCTTAAGCGATCTGGACGTGGTTGCAAGCTGTGGCGACGACAATCATATGGCGTAGTCGCTTTTAAGTAGCTCTTCTCACAATGTAGTGCGTGCGTTTAGCGCGTGTTACGGTTTAGCCGCAGTCGCTTATTAACCGAGTACATAAATAAATAAGGGCGTGAAAAATTTGCGTGCCTGTTCGTGCATGCTGCGGCTTCGACTCGTCTCCTATAATTCACCGTGACATAATGGCGTCCGTGGACGGGTGCGCGGGGCTTTAATTACGCTCCGAAGCATCGACAAGTGGAGCACGGTCTGGCTGCCATATTAGGCGCGAACAATTAAGCGGGCCGATTTTTGTGTTGAGAATTTATACACGATCCTGTTTCGGCCACTAACGAAAGGAACCTGTTAGGGAATACCATGTTTAGGCATCGCCGGTACCGCGATCTAACAGCAAAACTTAACGCACTAAACTTAACTTAAAACCTAACTTATTGATAGGCGAAGCTTTCGCATGGTTAATTTAACGCAATTTTAAAGAATTGAATTATAACGTAACAACTTTATTAAACCAATATAGTTTTTGCTTACTTAATCTATTTTTTAAACCAAATTGATTTATTTATAATAAAAACTTAATTACCTTTATAGCGAGAAAAAGTGAAACCTTATAAGTTAAATTGAATACAAAGTTGTATCGACGGGAAATGTTCCGTCACATTTAACCGATTAAGATCTCAATGTTAAGACTAATCTAGTTCGGTTAATGGAATTTATTTTTGCTTTGAGTTGACAAAAAAATCATCGCGTGTTTCTTCTTAATATAATTACTTCAAATAAATTGAATTTGCATAATGACTGTTACAAAAAAAATTAACAAAATTATATACAGCAATTTAACCCAACCACATTAAAAATGATCGTTCGATTAAACAAGGTATTCGTAGAAGTCGTGTGTGGTATTCGATGTTTACCATCTACCGGTATTACTTCAATTGGTGCTTAAGTTATTTTTGAACAGACGCACTTAATGAATAAGAGGTATAGGTAGCATCATAGTGATGTATGCTGCAAAGTTTGCATCGTTTAACACCTCCTTGAAGAGGCAGTGATTAAAATAAATTGTGTTGCTTCGAGGATTGCATATTATTTATCTAGCACTCCCGTCGCTTGGTCATTTCTCAACTCAACACCGTCTCCTATCACCATCTTTAATCAGCCACGGTACTGATCGTTGAGAAGTACGCCTATCTCGCGTAGCGTATGTCGTTTAGTTTAATAGACCGAAGAGAGTTAGGTACCCTTGCTAACACTTGCGCACCCACAGATTGTAAACTACCGATATACAACGGTTTGTGGTGCAGGTGTCAACCTCCGGTTAGCAGTAAATCCCTCGCAAATTAACTATCGATAATCGTTCTTCTCGAAGTCTTAAGCAGGTCTTTTCGTTGCAGATCGGCCAACTACAACAATGTAACGGGCAACTGCGAGCTTTCCAATATGGACCGGATGACCGTAGCGGGAAGCACCTCCTTCCAAGGTGCTAAAGGATACGATTACATGGAGAACAACTGTATAGACGAGCCGACGAAGCTCTGCGAATTCAAGAAGCTCGAAGGCCGCATCATCAAGACTGTCGATTCTTTGTACGAGGACGTTCCCTCCATTGACGAATGCCGCGACCTCTGCCTCAATGCCTTATACCGTTGCCATTCTTACGATTACGGCGATGCAGGCGAGATGATCTGCAGACTTAGTCATCATTCCAGAGCCACATTATCTGATATTCATGTAAGTTCATAAAATTAATTATAATTGCAATTAGTTATTTACATGACAACACTTCCGGCGTAAAAGATGTTAATTTAATTTCTTTTCTTTTTTGTTGGAGATTTCAAAGTTTAGTAATTTCAAAGATATCGATCTTTACTTCTTTAAAATAACCTCAATAAATTTACATTAATCAATTCAAATTCACTACTAATAAGATTCCAATGCATAGAAAATTATGTAAAACAACTTTATATTTTTTTAGGAACCCTACATCGGCGTCCCTGAAGGTGCAACTTACGAACTCAGCTCCTGCTACAATGTTAGCATTGATTGTAGATCTGGAGATATGGTCGCTAAAATCCAAACTAGCAAACTTTTTGATGGAAAAATCTACGCTAAAGGAAGTCCCAAATCTTGCGTACGAGACATTAAGAACAGTTTAGAATTTGAATTGGAAATGGCTTACGACGACGTGGAATGTAACGTTAGGAAAAATGGTTTAGGAAGATATGTCAACGACGTTGTTATTCAACATCATGATAAGATTGTTACAAGTTCCGATCTTGGATTAGCAGTAACTTGTCAATATGATCTTACCAATAAGAGTGTAACGAACGAAGTTGACCTTGGAGTTCATGGAGATATTCAACCGGAATTAACTGAAGAGGTTACCGTCGATTCCCCGAATGTAGCCATGAAAATTACCGATAGAAGTGGAGGAGATGTTATGCCAACTGCCGAAGTAGGAGACCCATTGGCTTTAAGATTTGAAATTATGGATAAAAACAGTCCTTACGAAATCTTCGTTCGTGAATTAGTCGCTATGGATGGCGTTGATTCCAGCGAAATCGTTTTGATCGATCAAGATGGTTGTCCAACTGATCATTTCATTATGGGTCCGATTTATAAATCAGCTGATACAGGAAAAATTTTATTGTCTCATTTCGATGCGTTCAAATTTCCATCTTCTGAAGTCGTTCAATTTAGAGCTTTAGTTACACCGTGTATGCCAAGTTGCGAACCGGTCCAATGCAACCAAGAAGGTACCACAGGAGAATTAAGATCCGTTATTTCTTACGGAAAACGTAGGAGACGTCGTTCTGCTAACCCCCAAGATAACTACCTTCTAGTCGAACAAATCCGTATTACTGATAAATTTGGCTTCCACAGTCAAAATAAATCAACTTCTGTAGCCAACGAAGCAGTTTATTTACCCAACAGTGATGGAGGATTTTGTATTAACGTGGCTGGACTTGTAGTTGCCGGCACAATCTTCCTGGCATCCCAATTGGCCATAATAGCGGCATGGACCTTTATTTGGCAAAGAAGGCGTATCGATGGAAAATTAAATGACTCGATGTCCGTTAGCGTTAGTTTACCTTCAGTGCTAACAGCGTCGCGTAGCGATAGCCTTTCGAAGCTTTATGATACCGGATACGCTCGTAGATTTTAAAAGAAACAGGATGACACTTCACGGTCTTATAGCAATAACAGTCATGTTCCATCGCGCGTGTCATTTCATACCTGTAGTAGTTTTCTTTTTCGATTATGGGACGATTTACTAGCTCCCAATGGCAATAATATTTTTTTATTTTTTTATAAAAAAGTGAGTCTTCAAAGATATTAGATTAACGATATTAATAAATAAACAGTATCGCCGTTCCCGTTTATAAATACTATAGACGCGAATGAAATGACAGGCTAAAACTATATATAAGGATATTAAAATGAGAAAATTACTTTACAGAGAGAAATATTTATATGTATGCAGTTAGGGGAACCGAGGATGACCCCGCGTATAACGTGTGAAAGAGGCATTTGAGTGAACGAAACCAGTCTTTTCGTAGCGAGTGTGATCGAGACCGAACGAGGCTTTATTTAAAATTAAAAATAAAATAAAAATGGCTTATCCTCTGTTCCCTACGGTTGACATAGTCGTCCTATTCAAAATATACACGACTTTGCCAACCGATGAATCGTTTTACATTTCATATCTACTATTTAAGACATACCATACTAATTATTTAGGCAATTATTACTTTTATCTATTTTCTAAGACGTTAGATATGTAAGAGCAATTTATTCATTAAAATTTCTGAAAAAAATATAGACAATTCAATCATTAAAAAATGTTCGTTTTATTTATACTCAAATTTATTTTGTGATATAATAAAATCTAATCCTAATTGGATTATTTCCTTAATACGCCTCAACCAACCATCAATAGTTACAACTAAAATAAGGATTGAATAAATTGAAAATTAAGGAAGGAATCCATAAAACCAGTGGGACATACTTTTCATGAAAAAAAGTTTAATAAACACCCGCTTTTGATTGTATGCATGGGTCCAATGTAAAGAGAACGCTCTTTTACGAATGATACCCTTAACCATTCGCAATATTTCGATGCTGTACAATTTCCAGTTCATGAGCTCTGGAGGCGTAATAAATCAAGATTATTGCAAAACATCAGGAGTAGAGGATCACGAGCACTCGGCGCAATATCGTTTTTCTGCTACCCTTTGTAACGGTGCGCTTCCTCAATTGAACAGATTTTTGATTGCGTTGCTCCGCTATAGGTGACATACTACACTCGAGGGAGATACTATTGATTCCCGATTATATTTCATGCCCTATTTCGATGCCAATATGTGAGAGAAGTTATCGGTACGTTATGAATATGCATTATTAAAAGATGAAAGAAAAAGTTTAAAAAAAATAATATCAAAAGAATAAATAAAATATTAGAATTATATATGAACTATATACTATATAGAATTAGGTTGGTGAGGATATATTGAGTTAAGTTTCCTTTTGAGGTTGGTGTGGATGTATAGGGTTTGATTGTACTGGGTTCAAGTTTGATACATCCATAGTCTTCTTGTTTAGCTTGGGAAAAATTTGCAGTACTTGATAATGCCATAATGACCAGTAATACACTTACTTAACGTAAGGTAAGGTAAGTGTATTACTTCAAATTTACACTTGCTTTTATCAATAAAAAAATAAAAGTATCGGTGGTAAATAACGCATTAAATCGGCAACAAAAAATCGGGGTGTCGTCAAAGGTATGCAATTATAACCTTCCTATTAGAAACGTTCTTCGTCTATAATTATCACAACCGGTATGTAATAATTGGTCGGGCTGTTAACTACTATGTCCGGTTGAGAAGAAATTATAGTTAAACGATTCATTTAAGAAAATCGAGATGCATCTGTGAATAATTATCAACGATACATAATTGGAGCATCTTTGTTGAAATTGCGCAAAATCTCAATTAACATTAAAATAAATCAACAAGAAAGCATTTCTCATATAAACATTGTCATCAGTTTATCGTTTGACGAGATCATTACGAAATAACCTGGTGTTTATGTCGTATAATTAGTTCCGCGACTTTTATTAATGTGTATTCGCGAGAATCTGGTTATGCTGGATTAAGAGTGTCCAGTACGCAATGCATATGGATGAGGGAAGTATCTTAATTGTTTCTCCACTTAGTGGTTGTCCTTATCGTTTAACAGGCGCGCGGCGGTATATCGTCGAACTACATTAGCGAGCATTAAGCAATTTCTGCTGGTCGTAATATATACAGGAAGCATTTCTGTAACGAAAGAATGGGGAAGATCCGTTGATATCTAATTGAGAAAATCCAACCTCTGCATTCCTTTTAATATCTATTCCTTTAATATTGTTAAAAATGATGGAGATGTTATCAGTTTAATACGCTCACATTCTTAGAAATTACACTGTACGTTTTATGTAACCCACAAAATATAATAGGGGTAAAGTGGGTGGTGCGGTTAGCATGGAAACCATCTCACATCCCATCAAGAAAAATATAAAAGGGAGTGGTTAAACCGTTTCAAATAATTACAGAGAAATTGCTCCTCTTCTAATGACTGTTATAAGAGAAACGTAATAAATCGATTGGCATTAGTTAGGCGTACTCGTTCTTCGAGTCTTAGCCATTACCGCGAAATTGAAAGTGTTTGCTGAGGTAACCCAAATTAATCGAATCTATGCTCTTCTCGTTGTTTGGATCCAACATTTTTCTTCAGTAACATCCTTAAATAACTAGGTTCGGTATCGATGAAGGTTTGTTGAGCTTATAACCTAGCTAATGTCTCGACAATGATCTCTCGTAATCACATATTATCTTATCTAAATTGGAATTTAGTCCGTTGTAGTTATTAGGAAAAATAGGCCAACATTTTTATCAAAATGTGTTCTCATATAGCACACACGAAACTGCATAGTACTTTGCAGCCAAGTTCTATAAAAGAATAATAAAATATAGCGGTCGTAGAGGTGCTACTCGGTATGGTGGCGAAGAGGTGTATTAGAATTTCATGAAAATGCAAATACCACGTTATCGCGCATTGTATGCCCTTCGCGCCCCGACGACAAAATGAAACTCGTGCTTTCGTGGTAAATAACATGTTTAATAAGGTGAGACGAAAGTACCAAGGTGCGAAGTTTAATCTAGCCCCTGTGGAAGAGAGTAAAAAGAAATGGCTCATAGCTTGAGCTAACAATAAAAAAATTTGTACGTAGAATTTGATCTCCTTATCTTGATCTAACATTATGTTATTAATAAATTTTTTTTGGTTTCTGTGAAAAAAATGAAAAGAAAAGAAATATCCAAACTTGAGTATCTTTTTTTCCCTTAGGAATAATTTCATCTGAAATAATACCGAAAAATCGGTTGAACTCGGTGTCAATTTCTTCAACTGGCAGTAAAAGCAAATAAGAACGTACCCAGGGGATGTGTGCAAACCATATCGACCTCCATTTCAACTCTGGGTATATATTTTTTATTGTACCCATTTTTTTTTTTATCGAGGCAGAAAGAATTTCAACAGGAACCAGGAAAAGGAATTGAAAAAACGTTTCCGCCCGGTTTTTTCATTATTATTCAGAAACAAAGGAATACGTTTCAGCGCCTCACCTCGATCGGAAAGATTTTTTTCCTTTTGTGAAATCATACGTGAAATTACAACGAAATTGTTCCCTTCCTGAAAGCTTTCCTTTAAGTTAAATTATCTAATGATTCAAGCGAATTCCACAAAATAAGATACTTAAATACCTAAATAGATTTAATCGAAGGGTCAACTCCGAGTACTCTTTATACGAGTCCATGTAGGAGATAAAGATCATAGGAATTTCTTTAATTCAAATTGGTTTCATACGTTTCTATTTCCCATGGAGCTAACATCGTCGTCGCGTTCGTGTGCTTGCCCCGTTTCCAACGTTATCTTTTCTAGATCTAAAGCGACCGGCAAACACGCTGCCGGCGTGAACTACGTGCCATGGAGAAGACATAAACTTGCAAATTGTACCAGGCATTAAAACGCGGAAAACTAAGAAGAGCAACCAGCGAGAGTAGTTGTTGTCATATCAATCACGTGATATCTCATCAATTTGTAACTCAACTCATAGGAACCGACAATTAAACAGTAACTATTGAATTTTTCCTGGAAGTTCAACGGCGACGAAGAGACAGTATGTCCGGAGGTAATTTAATTAATTACGCTAATTAAACCCCGGAAGTTAAAGAAAAAAAGAACGGATCTAAAAAGTGGTTCCATTGTGGCTAAATCCTTTCTTGCTTGGGTGCCATCTGGAATTTACATTGTTGGATAATTTGTAGATTCAATTAAAACAAGTGCTTAGCGCAGGTTTTGAGGCGATAACCGATGGCCCGTGTCCGCCATGATAAACTGTTGGCCGTATTTACCATTCCGTGACAGCTTAATTGTTACTTTGTATCCAACCTCCATGTTCAATTGACGACGTCGATGTTGCTTTATGGCAACACAGTTTGCTAAATTGAACGATACATCACTCAGGGTACAAGTTCTCGATTCTTTTGCCAAGTTTTTATATCTCCTTCTGTAGAACATTTCAACCTTACAGAGTTAATTTGTTTCTTTTAATGATTAATAAATATTTAGTCAAATAACGTTGCGTACACACAATATTATAAGTTTCAAGAAGGCCTATAGTATTAATTTTGCAATTATATTTAACGACGACACTAAAAGCGTTAAACAAATAATTTACTATCATCGTTCGGTGTCTTCTAATAGGGAGTCGTTTCGTTTACGATCGGTAAACTCTGTGACATCCGCCATTGGAGAGAATTTAAAATACGTGGAAATATTTTCTCGACGGAGGTCTGAGGGTTCGACAAAAGGAAATTGCTAGGTCCAGCCGGCCCAATTTATCGCATCGTTATAAAATGGAACGTTAAAAAGAGCTCTGCGTTGAATCTCACGCTGCGATTATGATTCTGTTTGCGCGATTAAGTGTTTTGTTTGGTTGACTTTGAAAGTTTACGATCTGGTATTTATTTGTAGCACGTTATCGTTGCAATGGAGCCATCAAGAAATTTTCAGTGTTTTTTGTACAATATTACTACCTGTGTGTGGTCTAGAATTAAAGATATTTTTTAATTTTTTTTATTATATTTATTTTCTTGTATAGGTATACTTCGTACACACAAGAAGAAATTTTATGGATATGTCTATTTTGAATGTCTGTACAATTTTGTAATCTTCGTTTAGAAGTGAGATGAGGAGTGTTCCAATAAAATAACAGCCAAGTATAAGTCAAGATGAAAGAATCACAGGCGCTATGACATCTACACCTACGATTGCGATGGAGACTATGCTGAACGTGTACCATGGCGCCAAATTTCGGATATAAGGAACATACCTTTCTGTTCTATGTAAACGTTCATGAAAAGATTGGGCTAGTTTTCTGACCCTTGAATGAACAGTAATTGTGGAGACGTACAAAGGGCCCGCTGGGGCCTAAGTGCTGTGAAGAAACTCACCCCCTCGCGAAACTACATACATACATACATACATACAAGTCAAGATGAGATGTCAAAAGCTTCAAGAATCATAATGTTTGTAATTATAAAAAACAGGAAACTATGGTGTTTATGAAATTATTCAAGATAGGTAATTGAAGAATTGCAAAGTATTTTGTATATATTTTTAGAACATTTTCCCATTAATCCTAAGAAAACCGATTGCGTAACCCCCCTCGCTCTTCACATTCCAAGTGACTGATGACGGTGTCTCGACGCAAAGGAAGTGTTTCACGGACGTCGCCATCG